TGTGGTCGGGACGTCCCGTCCCACCACATGTTCTCTGATCTTAAATGTTGGCGCTCTAGTAAAGTTGGTCTGCAGTGTGTAACCAGGTAACACCATCACCGCTGCTTAAAGCTCTGATCATTCTGCGATGCATTCACTTGCACTCAGACATCTGACGTTTCCTCATGAAGAACCTGTTCACACGTTTACATCCAACAGAGCGACAATATGTGCTTTTAATTAATAATAAATCAAACATTTTGAGTTGGGATGTTTAGATTTCTAATGAGTATTGAAGTGAACAGTCGCTGCTTTGTTTTCCATTAGGAAAGTCAAATAGCCTAAAGTGTAGCCACAAAAAAAAAAAGTCGGTTGCCACATACGTGAGTGTCGAAGCCGTTGTGTCGCAGCAGAGCCACAAACTTGATGATCTCGTTGACGTGTTTGTCGTTGTCGGCTTCGTATGTGACGAAGACCCGCCCTGCATTCAGAGACAGACAGTTAGAGGCGGCTCTGCAGCGGCACCGGCTGCTGCTGCAGAGCCGAGACTTACTCTGCTCCAGAGAGAGCGGCGTGCTGTACGTAGGGTGTCTCTCTTTGACCGGGACGTTGTGGCCACTGCAAGGAAACACAAAGCACTTCAGGGCCAAACTTTGTAATAATAAACACACAGTGGTTTAAAACTCGAGCAGCGGTGTCGACGTTAAGGTGTCTGAACATTTCACTGCGTAACGCAGACTGATCAAATGATCTGTTTTGGTCTAAAAGCCAGCAGAAAGTTTTAGGCTTGACACAAAATGACAGCGAAAGGTGAAAGGTTTCTGCTGCAGCAACAAAAGTTGAACATTGTTCGACTTTCTTGTGTTGCATCTATGTGTTTCAGCTCGAAATTTCACATGCATGAATTACACCATTGCACGAGTTCCACAGGAAGTGAATGGAGAAGGACGTTTCTAGATTAACGTTTAAAACGAAATGACTTCCTATAAAACTCCCTGAATATAAAAACCCGGAAAACGGGAGAATCTTCAGACGTTTGGTTTGAGATGATAAAATATTTCCTGAGACATTTTTTAAACACGCATACGGCGGCGGGTTTTGGTATGGGGGCAGTTGCCCAGGGCGGCAACTGAAAGGGGTGGGACACCCAAAAACCGGAAAATAAAATGTCTGATCTGTCAGTTGTCCCCTGAACAAGTTTCCTTCTCTTTGTATGCATGTCTAATGCAGAAGGTTTCCCTTGATTGTTGTTGATAACTGAGAGACTACCTGCTTTCTGCTACAAGAGAAACTAACAAAAAAAAAACTAAAACAGATAACTGCTTCCATTTTAACTGGTTGGAGTGCAGCAGGAGGAGGAGGTTGCCTGGGGCAACATTGCTGCAAAAACCACATATTTATATTTCAAGCATTCAAAGTCAGGCATGTTGATTAGTCATGATTAATCACAGCATGAGAGAGATTAATCAGATACATTTTTTAAATCAAATGCCAGCACTAAACTCACATGTGTGTGAATCCAGCTCCAGGGATCCTGCACTCTTCTGGGTCTAACGGACAAAAGACAGAATCAAGCAAACCTGCCAACTGCACACAGAGCGAGGCTGAGCGAGGAGGACCTGACTTACAGTACGGGCTGTAAGCTGGGTTGTACTGAGGCCAGGCGCGGTTGTTGGCCACGGGCCGCCTGCTGAAGGCGTCCGCCGGGCACAGAGCACAGCAGGGGGGCCCCTGCGGCGGGCACGAGTATGGCGACAAGGTGTGGTGGTAGAGCTCGACCGAAGGTGGGTTGGAGTGCAGCGACAGCGGCTGCTCCAGGCTCATGTGGCCGCCGTGGTGGCTGGGGAGGGAGGCGGACTTGTCTCTGGACAGGCAGCTGTCCTGGGAGCAGCTGGAGGAGTAATCCTTGTGGCCCAGGCAGGATGGCAGGCTGCTGGGGTAGCCGGTGCAGCTGCTGGCCAGGCTCGGGTGGAGCATGTTGACCTGGCTGGGGAACGGGGTGGGCTGGCTGTACCCGGCGGGGAGGCTATGGGGCAGCTGGGAGGAGCAGAAGCTGGAGGAGGGGAACGACAGGCCCTGCTCCCGGTTCCACGCGGGGAACGGCGCACGGTCCGAGGGCCGACGGTGGGCGTCGAGGTCAGACGCGGGGTCCACTTTGCGGACGGTGCTGGCTTTTCTCTCCTCTGTGTTCATGGTCTCATCGTCCTCTTCGGGCGTGTTGTGGCAGGTGCTCAGCTGGCTGACATAACTGAAAGCAGAAACATACACTGTAAAACAAAAATACTTTTAAAAATTTACAGTAAATAAGACGGTTAGACTGTGAACTACAAAACATTATCTTACTGTAGAGAAAACATCGAATAAAAACAATTCAAGAAAGATCAATTTCAAGAAATTTTTAGTTATGAAATGTACAAGATACAGAAATTTATTGCGAAAGTCTTTAATTTTTTTTTAAAATTCATAGAATTTTAGAAATTGTAAATTTTAAAATTCATAGAAAAATGCCAGCAGTTAATCACGCTAAAATTAACAGCACTGATGGGCTGAAATGAGATTTAGCTGATGTTTGCATTTAAAGCTACAGTGTAAAACTGAAAAGAAGACTGAAAATTTCATTTTTACAGTGCATAGAACCACAGTTCTCAAACTGTGAGACAATTATTGTTGTTTTTAACCACATATACAAGCTAATTAACTTCTATGTAGAGGAAATTAATAAAAACAGGCAAAAAAAATCACTGATCATTGTTTTAAAAAGCTAAAGGAGTCAGACAGATCAGTGTTTTCACCATCTGAAACTCTCTGCTGCTCTTTTGATTGCTTATTGAAACATTTGTCAAGATGTATTTCACATTACAAAGAGCACAAACTGTCATGGTTTTGAAAACTAAAGGAACAGCACTATAACCTGTAATAAAAATGGAGCTACCAAATAGTTGCAGGGCGAGGCAGGCGTGTTCAGCAACACGCTATGAACTGGTTATCCAAGAAAACAGCCCGACTCATTACGCAGCATCTGTCCTCCACTCTGATCACTATAGACAAAAACCCACAGACGTCCTGTGCACAGTTACACTGTAGCTTAAGCAAATGCAGTAAATGTTAGCTGCAACATTTACTGCATTAGCTGCTAAACATAAAACCAGCTATTAATAAATGTTGGGCATACTTATTATTAGTATAAAAATCTNTATTAAATAATTTTGCAGCTGTAAGAATGACAAATTTAAATTATTTTATATGTTTTGTTTTATATGTTAGCGTAAATACCATGATGCTATTTTTGGCTGAACAACGTGTCGTCATAGCAATATGAGTGTGTGTGACATTCATATCGCAGAGAGAGACTGTTTGGAGTGTGAAAATTCTTGGCTGATATAGTCAAAGTTTTAACTTTTAAGCTGGTTTTATGCTAACATTGTCATGGCTATATTGACATCACAATCACAAAGTTTGCCAATATCACACAGCCCAACTATTTTTACAAGATATTATCATAATGAGGGAAATGTCACCCTGGGAATAGCATCAGATCCAGCTTAACAACGGTCTGCAAGGAAACTAGAGGGATGTGCTAACTGCTACTAGCATTACAAACTAATAACCTGTTAGTGTTTGCATTTCAAACACTAACAGGATATGGTAAATAATTGATATCCATTACATGTGTAAGTGTTTAATATGATGAATCATACCACCAGAAGTGTAAATAAGCGGTTTATGTAACAGCCTGCGTTTTAATCCCAGGGCTGCTGTGTTGGTTTTTGACGTCGGCGTTACTGAAAAACACCAGAGTTTACCTCTTCAACTGTTGGAGACTTCCTGTCTACCTTTTGAGTTTGAAACATGGACAACTCAACTTGAGAGACAAATCTGGAAGCGTCATCCTTCAAACATACTACAGAGTAACACAGACAATAGTGATATATACACTTTTTGCCTTCTGGTTTGTTGTTATTAAAAAGCAAGCACATAAAGGAAGTCCAGGTTCTGTCGCAGTACCGTCTACAAAACGCCTCAGCTTGGTGGCTATCTGGAAACTTTAGTATTTTACTGAACTTGTCACAGAAAGAGTGAGAATAACTGTCCTAGATCACCGAGTGAAACTAAGCCATAATGCTGAACAGAAACGTCCGTTTTAAATCGCAATGGATTTCCAAATGTCCCGAAAAACATTTGATGATTGGACTGTTTAAATCAATAAGGGATAATCCTTTGTTTACGAGCAAAGTCCTTTTTATTTAGGGTTTAAATGCAGGATCATCCTAACCATATCAAAGGTTGTTTCTCCAGCAGCAGCAGGAACCACAGGCCCCAGGGCGCTTTTCATTTCTCTGCCTGAAACGCGCCGACGTTACGCTGAAATCTGTCCTGCTTCCCTAATTTCTTATGACAAAGACAGAGCTCGCAGATTCTTGTTGTTCACGTTGTGCTCACCTATCTGGGACAGGCAGAGAGCAGACCGAGGTGGGCAGCATCGTTGAGCTTATTCCATCTGACATCCATGTGTGTGTGTGAGCCTCCTTTAAGACATGCTTGAACTTCTGTAAAGGATAAAACAAACACAGATATCTGATTCAAAGGTCAGTACAGGCAGAGCTGTGGCGTCTTGCTTTTCTTCTCTGTTTTATCAGCCCACACTCGTGTGAGAGTGTTTGATTTGCATGCGTGCGCACCGGGACATGACAGCGTTTCTTCCACACAGGGGACTTTTCTCTAAGTGAGTGGAGTTAACACATGGGAATCAGGAAATGATGTCAGTCATTTGCGCAGGGGGAGAAATCAAACCATTTAACAGAACAGATATTCACCCGCTGACAGATTTCTCATTTCTGTGTTTTGACACCACTTGGATGTTTCAGATCGTCAAAACAAACTCTTCGAATGATGATTTTGCTCATTAAAAGTTCAAATTTCCCCTATGTTAGAATGTAATCACACTCTTGTAATGATGGGTAACGATGGCCCTTGACAACATGTAATGTTTCAGTTGTTGACTGTGTGTTCTCTGACTTTGCGTTTTTATGATCTAAACCGCCTTGTTGCTGATATGTGCTATAAAAATAACATTTGATTAGATTGACTGATTGATGAATTAGCTGTGATTACCCACAATGCTCTGTTCGGGTTCACTCACCGCATCTCGACCTGGCTACGGCCAGATCTGCAGAATCAAGAGGCGCGTCCCAGAGCAGGCGAGAAACTAATTTATCAGCGTCTGTCAGTCTTGCAAGCGTTACAAACCCATAATGAAGGTTTTGGCCAACCAAAATGATTTCAAGAGTCCTTCAACAGGCCCACAAGGAACCCAGAGACAACATCTAAAGCACTGCAAGCTCATTTAACGTCAGAGTTCATGATGTAACGATAAGAAAAAGACTGGGCAAAAACTGGCATCCATGACAGATTTCCATTTTTTTCATGAAAAATACAAAAATTGAAAACTTTGGAAGGTTTGCCACTTGTTACATCTAGCCGCGTAACGAGTTTTCCTAAACAGCATTTTAGAAAAATAATATCACACCAACAGTTAAACATGGTGGTGGTAGCATCATGGTCACAGTTGAGTTAAACAGCAGGAAAATAATCAAAACACACCAGCATCTCCCCTGCTGAGCGATTAAAAAAAGAAAGAAAAAAAAAAAAAGAAGGCTCTAAAGTGGCTCTGTGAGCAATGTTACCTTAAATAGGTTGTAATGTTTCTCCAGTGTAGCAAAATCAAAACAGCGGGCCAAAAATCCTCCAGAGATGAAAAAGATTCATTTCCAGTTATCATTAACTTTCGATGGCGGTTGCTGCTGTCAAGAGTGGTGCTTATTAGGTTAACAGGTTTGAGTGACAATTACTTTTCCACATAGGGTTATGAAGGTTTGGAAATTTACTCAGCTTATCTGTCTGCTACTAAAATTCGATCTAAAAGTGCAAATACTTCTTTTTTTTCACATCACCATATAACTAATACAATTCTGTAGCACTGCTTTTGCATTTTAAGGAGTCTCTTAAAACATTTCCCAACTTTGAGGCTTCCAAGCTACAAAGCAGCACTGCAACCCAATTATGATAATTATGAAGTCCATGACGACAACAAGAGGCATAACAACTGGTATTCTATTTTTAGACAAGTGGAAAACAAAAGTTTGGCAAGAGCTTCTGGTAGAAGTGATCATGAAACTGATGTTTGGAGGTAATTTCAAGACCCCAACATGGGTGTTTAGTGGCCCGTTTTGGGTTCCCGACCCCACCTTCGGAAAACACTAGTTTAGAGCACTACTTTAAACTAGCACTACTCATCACGTTTAAATGCTCCGTGATGTTAACAAGCATTTCTGTTGACGGGGAAATAAAACGGAGAGCTCTCTCTTCAAATCTGCATATAGGTTATTATCATAAAAGCCGTCTAAGCTAGTTTTAGGTTGGTTTGTCTTCCAACCCCCCCCCCCCCAGAATTCCCGTAAATGAAAATAACACTCGCTGATAACCTCTATGTGGTCGCACAGATAAAGCAGCTCGGTCTTTCCACTGAGGCTGACCCAGATATCGCTCCGTCAACTCGGACTCACTGCTCAACCTTCATGCATCCGTACACCTCCAGACACTTTCTACGAGAATTAGACGAACGAAATATA